AATGGGTCTTCCTCATTGGGGACCATCTGTTCCAACGATCCTCCCCAGAACTGCAGATCCTCCTCCTTAAACCTGGGGAACAAAGGTATAATGGGTTCCAGAAAAGCCATTCCTTCTGGGTGTCCACATAAGACAGCCAATGGCTGCAGTGTGGATGATGACCTCCAAAGCCTGAATTTCCTTCTTAGCTCCCAGCACTGCCTGCTGCCCTGGGGACTGTCCCAAATCCAGGCCCCTTGAATGAAACCCTCGTGCTCAGGATATCAAGCACTCCAGGCCCCACGTCCCCAGAGAGGACACCTCAGCTCCCACCCTCCTCCAGGTGCCATGTCCATGAAGAGCACTCTCACTGGACACTCACACAATGTGGGCTGCCCCTCCATGTCACCGGAGGGCAAGATGTAGATCTGGAGCTGGTTTGAACCTCACAGCCTCAGAAGAGGAAGTGCACATCATCAGGCAACCCAAAGAAGAAGAGGCCCTGAGGACAGTCATATGTCATATTGGCCAGTGACCTCTGGGGTGACTACCCCTCAGGCAAGATCTCACCCTTGCTTTATTTTGCACTGGAAGGACCAAAGGCTCTTCCTCACACAGGACAGTTCCTGTAGGAAAATGAAGGGAGTGGGAGGATATCATGAATATAGAAAGAGGGCTGTGGGAGGGTATTGAGAGGGGAGGGTCATAGTGTTCAATCCCTGGTAGGAAGCTGTACCTTGTTTGACTGTCAGTGGGAATAAAGGCAGTTTGGTAGGAAAAAAAAAAATCTTCTCCGGCATCTGCATTCTGCCATGTTGTCTGTGCACCTCCATGCAGTGAGAACTGAGAGGAGATAACTGGGGTTGCCAGGACCCAGGGTGCACAAGTGTCCATCTATTGGGTCTTGTTTCCAGATTTAGACTGCCCTCACCCTAATCCTGTGAGAAAATAGACAAGATCCCAAAATTCTACTCAATCACCCCATGGAAAAGGCCTCTCTTGGTTTAGGGGATCTTCTCTGTGCATTCCTTCATGATCTGTGCCTCTTAAACATCTCACTTACCCATCATCTGAGGGCCTGCTATGAAGAGAAATAACAATGAGGCAAAGCATATCTCCCTTGGTATTCACAGCTCTGAGGTCTGAGGACTAACTGGTGGCTCTCAGATCTTAGTGTTAATAGTCCTGAGATTGACCCTCAGCTCCTAGTAGTAGAAACTCCCATGTTGCCTTCTTGGGATCAGTAGCCACCTGCTTCCAACACTTTCCTGGAGATCATCTGACAGCTGCACCTAGCAGCTGCTGTAGATTGCCACTGCTCTAGGGCATTCTCTGTGCTTGCCACCATCAGGCTGACATGCCCAGTTTGCCCGTTTTCAGTGTAACCAACTTGACCTGCTCTTGTTGAGATGAAAGTCATGAATATACAAACTATATCCATCCCTTAGAGACTTCATTAGGACTCATGCTGCTACAGAAGGGGAAGTGGAACAGGAACTGTTTGCATAAGGAGATGGGGAAGGAATCTTATTGGAATTAAAAAGGTGAACTCAAGCATGTAGTGTCCTTCCAAGATACCCACAGTATTTCTGCTTAGGCATGGTTGGGGAGGGGCTCCTTGCATGCCAGACTATGGACTACTGAAGGTTCCCATAGGGTGGAGTTATGTAGAGCCACTGCAGGGTAGAGTCAGCAGGAGAGAACTGCTATGGAATCAAAAGCCTCTGAATGACCAAGAGGCATTTGTGGTAGCCATGGCCATCAAAAACAGAAGCAGAATTTTTTATCAAGTACCTCATGAGATCTTTGGGCCCTCCTGTCTCATTTGGATGCAGAGCTGCTTTTAAGCCTTCACCCCCCTGTGAAAATAATGAGGGTTCTAGAAATAAGCAGGTTTCTAGAATTTTTTTCTTAGCATCTTTCTTCTCTCCTGAGTGAAGATGGACAATATCGTTGGATAGATCCCCATCATGGCCATGGTCTTCCTGTGTAGGTGTCCTGATGAGAGGACAAGGCCTGCCTTCATACCTCTCCCACCCCCTCTACAGTTCTGACTGGGAACTCATTGGGGGACCAACAGGCTGAAGGTCCTGACTGCATCCCAACACAGACCCACCCCCCACTGACAGTGCTCTGACCCTTCCATAGGTAGTATTGGCCCCACCCCGACCCCAGCCTGACCTATACTGAGTGTGGCTGGCCCAAATGTAATCAAGTTCTACAAATCAATGAGAAAAAATAAAGCTACACACCACATGGTTTGCCAATGAACAAAATGGGGAAGTTTGCAAAGGAGAATAATTAAACTGCAAGGAGGCCAAAGTTTAGTGCTATTTATGGAATAAAGTACTCGGGTGAGTTCAGACATGCACAAAACTCATTGGAGGTGAAGTTGTTTGTGATATGTCATGTAAAATCAAACTCCATGGTTCTTCATAGGACACAGGTTCCATGCCATCAGAGTCAGGGGCACAATTTTTTATCAAGTACCTCTTGACAACTTTGGGTGCTCCTATCTCATTTGGATAGAGCACTACTTTTCAGCCTTCAGGCCCCTGTGCCATTAATCAGATTTCTAGAAGTAAACCTGGAGACAGTATTTTTAAAGACAGTTTCTTTCTCCTTTTCTGAGTGATGTTGGGCAGTGAGGATGAACAAAACCTCAGCATGACCAAGGTCTTCCTGAGTAGATGGCCTGATGAGAGGACCAGCCCTGACTTCTAGGGGGAGAAGTTGCAGCACGTTAGGGAATCATCAATTGACACCACCAACAAGACCCACTCTCTGCATTAATGAAAAGCCGTGCTTTATGGCAGTGACCAATGGGACTAGCCCCTTGTGTGTCTCCTTTTTGAGCTATACCCTTATTGAAATTCATTTTAAGAACTTCCTCCTGATCTCTGTGCACTGGTCAGGACGGATCAGAGTCTCCTGTTTCCTGGGATATTGGCCAGGCTGTGGCACACTGTTCAACCATCTGAGGCATGATCTGCTACTATCTTACTATTTTTGCTATAGATCATTACAAAAAAACTTTAGGAAGACATTCACATAACTCACATCACCCATCAAATATTAGAATTTGAAAGTTTTCATAGAGTTTGCCACAATATTGGCAATTTCATGACTACAATAAAATATAGATTACTTTCATCAGCTCAAAAAGAAATCCCTTACCTTTTAGCTATCAAACCCAATCCCCCATATGTTTTCCCACCACTTTTGAAATACCTCTGTGCCTAATCAATTCTTTTCACCATTTATTTGATATATGCAAGTGTGGTCCTAGTGTGTTCAGTTTTAGCATTGCTTCTCACATGGTTCAAGATTTAAGAATGATTGACATTCTTTCTACTTTTTTTAGAACATTCTTAACTAAAACTGTCATTTCTCTTGCAGCTGGGTGGGTGGGAAAAATACAATCTCTACTAGTACAGTTTAGGTCCACTGCCTTGATTCATTTCAAGTTGAGAACAGTTCGGCGACCATGGCTTTTGCACCTCCAGCCAAAATATTCAAGTGGTAGTTTACTTATTGCCACGTCAAGAATTCTCTTGGGAAAATCCTGTTTACAGATACACTGAGGTGCCAGAATCTGTGTCCACACCTGTGTTTGTGGTTAGAAGCTCTGGGAGAAGTACCCACACTCTGGGCAGGATGTGCTTGCTCCTGGTGACTTCAAGGTTCCTCAGGCTCTAGCTAGGGAGAAATTTCATTCAGTTGCTCTTGTTTAGTTGTGCAAGTCCAGGAAATAAACAGAGGGTTTTCCAAGGAGAATCAGCAAAAGTCAGGCTGAGGAGATGATGAAGCCATAAATTATGAAGTTGTCACCTTCACATAGGCCTTTGGAGTGCCTGGAACTTTCTTTTGGTGAGAATGCTGAGAGGAATGGTGCCACTCAGCAGAGTCAGTTTTCAGCAAGATGCCTAGGAGGCTGATCCATTGACAGCAAAGAATGCCAAGGGGCCTCTAAGTCAGGGAAAGCTGAGGTATCACTATAGACCATGTTCATGGAATCTTTGAGTACTGGGAACAATATTTCTCTGGATATAACTTTCAATTAGAAGAATGAAGCCTAAAATTCACTCAGAGAAAGTTGCAAACCATACGATTTCCCTGCCCATAAGACCCTGAGCTGTTGCGATTCCTCCTCAGATGCCCAGTGACAAAGGCTCGGGAGCCTCACTCCGATTGCCACTTCCCCTTTACTTTGCTTTGACAGCATCTCGAGTGCTGAGACCAGGCAGAACCTGGTTCCCCTATGTCTCCCCTCAGAGACCTGCCATGTCTTCCCTCTGCTCCTGTGCCAACACACAAGCCATTCTGGGTGCTGCCTGTGTTGCCTCCGGTGACTGCACCAATCTCCCAGGGTAACCCACAGGTGTAGTCTCCTTACCCTTAAATATGAATAGCAGCAGGAGCTGGTGTTCCTGCTTTGTGTGTGGCTGGACAATTCAACTTTGGTCAATATTGGCAAAGTGGAGGCCACATTCAGAAGATTGCCCTCACTGGAGGGCCCCAGGGGTGAGGACCATCCTGATCCATTCCTCACAGCAGCTTCTGCCCAAAGGACCATTATGCCTGCCTCAGCCAGTGGAGGAACCTGGAACTATGGGGGCCATGGGCATCTGGGTCTTCTCCCTTTAGCACCACCACCATTTGCCCAACCAGCCCCCATCATCTTCTTAGTAAATGCCCACCAATGGCCACAGGAAGTGTACAGGGAGGGCACACTGCCTACCTTCCACATAACTGCAGCGGACCTCACAGCATCTAGGGAAACTGCTGGCACTGTCAGTGTTTCAAGTTCCTGATCCACTGGCACCTTCCTCAGGTGCCAGATGTGGAAGCACTTTCCTGCTTCCTCATGTGAGTGTTCCCCCCAGGGACCCAGACCTTCTCCTTGAGCTTTGAAAGGTAAAAAAAAAATGTATCATGGAAAAAGGAGGCTGGGATATAGGGAAACTGGAAGGAACATCCTGAGGGTGGAGGGATAAGCTGAGACCTACATTCCCAGCCATGTTCATCTTACACCAGGGGAGGAAATGTGCCTTATCTCAGTTGCCCATCATAGCCCTGTGAGTGCAGTAATCTTTCTTTCCAATGAGCATTACCATCACATGGAGGACCCAAGGTCAGAGAAGGATCCTGGGGATAATGTGAACCAGGATTTGGAATTGACTCTCTGACGCCATATGATTGCCCCTCACTAAGTATTTTCACCTTCTAGCATAGACCTGATTGTTCATGACAGGCAACATCACAACTAGTGTCAGGGAGAGGGGTGGAGGTACCAGCACAGATCTCTCTGAACACCCACCCATACTGTTCTATTGTTCTGGGGAATTTCATTTTAGGATATTGAGGTGGTACAGAATTCTTGAGTGGGTACTCATTCCATTTGGATCCTCCATGGAGATGTAGGATTGTCTCAGGCTTTAACCCTGCTCCCAGGACACTCTATACTCTGGGTTGCTCAAATCATGCTGCCATACACACTGCTACAGAGTGGGCAGCTGAAACCATTGGGATTCATTTATCATAGTTCTGAAATTGGGGTGTCCCAGAAAAGTGGTGCCAGATAGGCTTTAGATAATGGCTGCATTACCTGTTATATCCTATTGCTGAAACAGCTTTAGTGTCTCTTCCTTTTCCTAGAAGGGTACTACTACTATCATGGGAACTCCCCCCTCATGATCTCATTAAAATCCTAAGAAGGACTGAAGCCATCATCTCCAAATACCATCATACTGGAGGTTAGGGCATTCACTCATGAATTCTGGAAGACAAAAACATTCATGTCACAATACACAACAACATCAAGAATTCAAGGGAAATCAGATTCCAGTACAGTACTTGATGTTCTCTCTAGTATATGAGAGCATGTCCTGGATGCATGGAGCCTACATGGGGTGGTCAAAGTGACAGAACAGAGGAGGCAAAGGCAAGGTGTGTTTTGGGTCAGGTCAACTGGCAATGAAGTGTGGGTTGTGGATTTTGACTGTTCCTGATGAATCCCAGGCCAGTGTTTTGTACCCTATCTGGACTGAAGCCTACTATGACTCTGGAGGAGGGTCTTGCAGGAATGTCAACACACAACTTTTACCAGTTGATCTTTGAGATGGCAGAAAAGTGAGGCGGAGACCTGTGCTAGGCCTAAGTGCTACGGAACGTGGGTTGCACAGCTGGTTCTGGTGGGTCTTGTCACTCATACCCAGCCAGGAAGGGCATCTGCTACCACAGAGAAAACTACTGAACGCTTACCTCTCCAAGTATTTGTTCCCTCTACCTGGAGAGCTGGATACTCTCTAATAGTCCCAGAAACTCTGGCCTCAACATTCAAGGTTCAGGGTTAGGACGTGGGGGAGTAACCAGCCAAGCTCAGGAGATGTCCTTCAGCAGTGAGGGCTGTGCACATGGTACAAGTTTCACTAGCTTGGTGTTGGCCAACCACCTGGGAAATAAACCCTCTTACAGAATATAGATCACTCCAGCTCAAAACATGCCACAATTAAACCCTGATGTTCCAGAAGAGATTTGGAATTTGAAGAACATGGTCAGGGAAAGCCAGTGTCTCAGATGCCCTGAGCACACACCTCTGGAGTTTTTTGTCTTTGTTGCATGTAATCCTTGCCATTCAAACAATTAAATGCAAAACAGCCCTCTTTGGAAGCAACCCAATACTTTCAGCATAGCTTCTACTTTCTCATGACCTCTCCTGAGTCTTGTCCCCTTGGCCCTTCTTCTATTTCCTTCCACCAAATGGCTGGAGCAAACAGTCCTAACACCACCATTGATAGCGATAGAGGATTCATGGTGTTCTCTTACATAAATCATATCTTTGACCAGATGCTGATGATTGGCTTTTCTATGTGGTTCAGGACAGGGAAATGAGAAGCTTGGAATAAGTGGCAGGGTTGCACAGGGGGATACATAAAGGAATGTGCCTGGTTCACTAAGGCCCACATGGTTCTCTTCAGGTGCTAAGTGATGTTGGGTGCACATAGAACTGTTTCTGTATTGGAAATTGATCCCTCCTGGAACTGGACTGGCCTATGTCTAAGCACTGTTGCCCATTCCTTCTGTCAGATCCTCATTACTATGAAGCTATAGCTTGGATTTTCCAATGCATATTCTTTTTTTTTTTTTTTTTAATAATCCTATGCTTTGCTTACCTGCCAGGTTTGTGGAATTTGAGGCTGTAGAGATGGAAGGTCCAAAGCTTCAGTTGATGATGGATTCCAGTGTCAGACACTTCTAATTCCACAGAGGCTCTATCTTCCACATTCCCCAGTTCTTGATATTGTGCAGCAGGACAGAGCTAAACCATTTCCAGAGGACTTGTAATAAAGGAAAAAAAAATGTAACAATGAAGTCTGCTGTCCCACATGTGAACATTTTGTTCAGGGTAGGATACTTGTTTTGCAAGAAGAACAGAATCTAGCATCTGGGATTCCAACTACCCTTGGATTTGAAGTGAATATGGCCTAGTCTAAGTTGATATCTTCTCTCCCCTTGTCTATGCAAAGAGCCAACAAACCTTCTGCATAGAACATGACTCTGTGAGGCACAAGTATATCCAATATGGGTATCTCAAACTGTCCTCCCATGTGACATACATTGTCCAACTGGTACAGAGTCACCACTCATAGGTCCTGATGTCAGAATGTGCAGGGCCATCCTGGACCAGATTAGGACCCTTGAACACACTTCCTTCCACCAAATGGCTGGAGCAAACCTGGAACCACCATGTATGCATCATCCCTTTCCCTCTGTCCTAGTGTGCACCTCCAGAAAGGCTGGCCCTGAGGCTCACCCACCAGAAGTCTAATGCTAGTGGTACCAGAGATCAAGGTGCCTGACTAGATCATGCCTGAAGCCATTATGATATATATGGACATTATGAACACCTGGTGGGGTGTCCAACTTCATCATGTGAAAAGCCCCACATTTGGCCATGGAGGAGTCCAAGGGAAACTTGGAAGAGCATGGAATGGGGTGACATTTAAAAGGGGACAACTTGTACCAAGATCCAGATCTCTTACCCTACATTGATGAGCTGTGCTCCAAGAGGATTTTGTCACCAAGGTGGGCTGGGCTGGGAACCCAGGTGTCTACAAGACTTTAGGAAAGCCAGCCCAGGCTCATGGAATTATCCTTAGTTCTTTAGGTTCTCAGCACTGTGTGTCTGTTGGGTGGGTAGCTCCTGGTCTTGATTTAACAACCCCATGGTGTGAACCAGGAAGACATTATCAATGCTTCCTATGAATCCCAGAGGTGTCTTGACTTTGGGACACTTCCTACCAAGACCACACGCAATCTCTTCTTATCCTCCAGGTGCAGGCTATATTTACCACACCCCCATTTCTTGGAAGTAGCTTTCCTTAGGACTACACATAGATATCTTGACCCTAACCAAAGAGCTGAACCAGGAGGAAGGACTCACCCAGCAGAATGGCCATCAGAACCTCAGTCTGACACCAAGACAGGTGACACCTCCCATTCAAATTTACACATCCCCCCAGTCCCTCTGTCTCCCTTCATGCCCAATGAAGACTGTGCAAATGCCCATTTCCTTCTGCAGCTGGTGAAAAATCACCTACTGCCCTTGCAGTAGAAATGCTCGGTGTAGGTGCCCCAAAGTTATGTTGTGCCCTGACTAAAGTCCTTCTAAATCATCTGCCAGCCAATGTGTAGAGAAACATAGTGATAGCACTGGACATGAGGCCTAAATGGAGATCAGCCCCCCCCATGGGTCACCTCATAAGAAATTAAGAGATGCAGGGTCACACAACCCTAGGTCCTATAACAGAAGAATACTGGTATCATCCTGCACTGTTTTGAGTCTTCCTCAGTGGGTGCCTGCCACAATCTGGCTGGGCACAAAATCACGAGCCACTTAAGCAGGAACAAACTTTATTTTTGAAACTGCCACCAATGCCCCATAAGCTCCCGGGAAGATTTCCAACCGACTCACGCTGTGGCGTTCTCCCCCTGAACCCCCAGAGGAAGTTCCTCCTCTGGAATTCCCTCCTACCGCACTTCCCCAACCAATGGGAACTCTCCAGGAGTCCCTAGCAGGCAGAGGTGGACAGCAGGAGTCCAATATCCATATGAATGCAAATCTTAACATAATCATATCATCTCAATGGCTTGCTGGCATCACCTTTCAACCAAAAATGCCATGCATCATATTATTTGCCTGTGGCTCTTAGCATCTCCCCCCTTCTATTTAATTAAGCAACAAGCAATGTTGCTAGGGACCATGCCTGATAGGTTTGTCCAATTCAACATATGGTTCTTACCCGTCATGGGATGAACTGACCTCTAGGCATCAGCCTCCTGTCTTAGGTTGATACCACTGCAATTGGATAATACCCGTCACTGACAACCGGTCCAGCATATAGCCATACTTGTGGATAGGCCTATGCACCAGTGCAGGGGTGAGGTTCTTTGCCTCACCTCTGTTGGCCCCCAAATTTGGCCTTGGTGCCGGTGGGGGGGGTGAGGTTCTTTGCCTCACCTCTGTTGGCCCCCAAAATTAGACCATCACTAGTAGAAGGGAGGAGGATACAGAAATGCCACAACACCAAGTCAATTGACGGCTCCTTAGGAAAAATTGCATCACTGGTGACACATCAGCAAAGATAAGCCAGCACTACCATAATTCGCTGCATCAACAGATAGATCACAATGCATACAAGTGATACATAGTCCAGGCAAGTTCTGTAAGCAGTTCAAAGCAGAGGAATCTATCAATATGTCCATTTCCTCCCAAAATAAATCGACTCATTGATTGAGCATTACATGTTATTATTCATTGATGCATCAGTTTATAGAGTTTGTTGTGATAACTATCGAAGGAACTAAAGTTTGGTTTCATCCTTGTCTTCACCAGCACTGGGATGAAGATAGGAATTCTGACAATGATGCTAAAAAAAAAAATTATGTAACACTCCAACAGGTACTAAGAAAACAATTTTTTGAACAATTTACATTATTATGAACAGAATTATTAAATATAATGAAAAGGAAAGGTGAAAGTAAACAAACAGATCTGTTAACCTGCTTATTTGTACACATATTAAAACAATCCTCAACAGCTGTTTACCCAATTTAAATTAAACCATTAAAATCACGTGAATAATAAAAAAAATTTGGATCCATTTATTCATGAGCGCTCCTCATATATGATATATGGACATACACACATACAGACATACAACACAAAACAGAAGTGTGCACACATAACATACAACACATAAGACAATAGTAAAGGCCTTGTAGCTTTACCTAGGTGAAATCTCCATTGCAATGTTTAAAAACTCCACAGTCAAAACATAAAACTGATCAGAAAAACATTAACCTAGGTCTGTATGAGCTCAAAAATAAAATAGAACTTTATGATGTGGGAAAAAGCAATAATAAAATAGATATTGAAAAAAGCATCCTGGTTAATCACTGTCACAGATGTAAGAATAGCCAAGCTGGAGTTCTGGATATCAGCTGTTATGGATTTGAGTCAAATCATCTTCTTTTTGGTCTGTAGAAATTGTTTTGGTTAATCTCTCTGGAATCCAAATCGGCTGCTGTTCTCCCTGTGGAAACACACAAACAGAGCTCCGACTCCAGACAATCACTGGGTCAGGACCTTTCCATTGTCCTGTTAAAATATCCTTCCAAAGTACCTTAGGCTTATGTACATTTTTTGGATACAAATGTCTTTCCGCATCACTAAGTCCTGAAGAATCCAAATTTAAAAAGTTTAGAGTAAAAAGGGTTATTTTAAGTTTATCTTTGGGGGATATATACCCCTTTCCAATTCCCTTCTTTTGTTTTAATAAGTACATTTTAATAGTTTGATGAGCTCTTTCAACTATGCCTTGTCTCTGTGGATTGTATGGAATTCCTGTTATGTGAGTAATGCTAAATGATGAGCAAAATTGTTTAAAAGAGGTAGAAGCATAACCAGGACCATTATCCGTTTTTAACTGTTTTGGAACACCCACAGTGGCAAAATTTTGTAAGCAATGAGCTATAACATCTTTAGTTTTTTTCTCCGGCATGAAGGGAACCTATCAAAAATCTGGAAGAAGTATCAACTGTAACAAGTAAATATTTTAATTTTCCAAATTCTGGCAAGTGTGTGACGTCCTTCTGCCAAATATGGTTAGGTATCAGTCTTCTAGAATTTACTCCAAGATTAACTTGTGGTAAAAATGTCACACAATTTTGACATTGTTTTATTATATGTTGGGCTTGTTCTTTAGTTATTTTAAAATGCTTTTGTAAAGTATTAGCATTGACATGGAACCTTTTATGAAAATTTATAGCTTCTTCTATTGTGGAGAAAATATGTATGTCATGTGTAGATTTATCTGCTAATTCATTGCCCAAACTAAGGGCTCCAGGCAATCCTGTATGTGCCCTGATATGTCCTATAAAGAATGGATCTTTTCTGTCCCAGATTAGACTTTGTATAGTGGAAAACAAAGAGAAAACAGTAGAAGAAGGGGAAATCCTACCAGCATCTTCAAGGGATACTATAGCATTAACTACATACTGACTATCAGAAAATAAATTAAATACAGAATCTTTAAACATCACAAAAGCTTGTAATACTGCATTAAGCTCTACCTTTTGAGCTGATTGTTTGGGTACTAAAAATGTAAAAGTTTGATCAGGGGTAACTACTGCTGCTGTACCATTATTTGACCCATCAGTGAATATATTTGGAGCATTCATGATAGGGGCTTTTCTTGTCATCTTTGGAAAAACTACAGGATGCTTAGACCAAAAAGACAACAAAGGATTAGATGGTAAGTGATTATCAAATGAAACATTAGATTTACACATGATTATCACCCAAGTATTTAACTCATTAGCTAACTCATCAATTTGATCCATAGTATATGGAGTAATAATTTTATTGGGAGAAATCCCAAACACTCCCTTTGCTCCTTTTATTTCTTTGAGTATTAATTGTCCTACAGTCTCAGGATACCTAGTAAGAATAGTGTTAGGAGAATAAGATAAATGTATCCACAATAATGGACCTTCTTGCCAAAATATTCCTGTAGGAATATTTTTTGTTGGTAGTACAATAAATAATAAAGGCAAACTTATATCAATTCTATCCAAATGCATATTTTCCATATATGTTTCAATGATTTTTAATGCCTTTCTTGCTTCAGGCGTTAACATTTGGGGTGAATTTGGATCTGATGGACCTTTTAGGATATCAAATAAAGGTCCTAGCTCTCCTGTTGGTATGCCTAGATAAGGCCTTATCCAATTTATGTCTCCCAATAACTTTTGAAAGTCATTAAGTGATTTGAGTTGATCTACTCGTATTTGAATTTTTGGTGGACGGACCATGGTTGAGGATAATAGAACTCCTAAATAATTAATTGGAAGATTTAATTGTACTTTATATATTGCTATCTCTAGATTATAATTTTTTAATAAATTTCTAAGTGTGGCATAACATTCTAGCAATGTGTTTTTATCTTTATGTGCCAATAACACATCATCCATATAGTGAAATATTTGTATTTCAGGATTTTGATTTCTAAGTGGCTGGATTGCTTTGTTAACATAAATTTGATGCATAGTTGGACTATTAGCCATCCCTTGAGGGAGTACTTTCCATTCATATCTCTGATCAGGACCTTCATGATTTAGTGCAGGGATAGTAAATGCAAAATGTGGACTATCCTCAGGATGAATTGGAATTGAAAAAAAAAAACAATCTTTAATATCTATAGTTAAAACATACCAGGTTTTTGGTAAAGCAGACAATTGGGGGATCCCTGATTGAGCAGGTCCCATAATAACCATCTCATTATTAATGGCTCTTAAATCTTGTAATAATCTCCATTTACCAGATTTCTTTTTAATGACAAAAATGGGAGTATTATGGGGAGATATGGAAGGTTGTATATGTCCCTCCACTAATTGTTGTTTGACCAGGTCATGGGCTACTTGTATCTTTTCTTTAGTCAGGGACCACTGAGGAACCCACACTGGTCTTTCTGATTCCCAAGTAATTTTTGATTGTCTCAGTGGCCTTTTCTGAAAACCCAATCCATGTCTATTTATTTCTTGATCTATTTGAATTGGTGCTGTCATACCTTGTTCTTGTTCTCTTAATCTTTTTTCTTTCCTAAAGCCTTGTCTAGCCCTAGTAGCGGGCGCGTTAGGACTGATGTTATTTGTTAATGTCAAACCTAATTGATCTAGGACATCTCGTCCCCCTAAATTTACGGGAAGATGATCCAATACATATGGCTGTATAGTTCCTTCACATCCTTCAGGATCCTTCCAACCTAATACCATTGCACTTCTATGGGGATTAGTCGCCACTCCTAGGCCTCAAAGCGTTTGAGTGGCTTGTTGTAATGGCCAATGTTTTGGCCATTCTTGACGAGATATGATGCTAAGGTCAGCACCTGTGTTCAGTAGCCCATTAAATTCATGTCCTTGAATATTTAGTTTTAGCATGGGGCGAGAATCTAAATTTAAAGACAGCATAGCCCAATCTACACCTGTGGAGCCTAATCCCCTGGAACCTCTTTCTACAGTACAACTGGAAAATTTATCATGTAGGCTGGGTATTATTAATAACTGTGCTATTCTATCTCCTGGTGAAATTACTGATATACCTCTTGGAGAACAAGCTATAATTTTTATTTCACCTTCATAATCGGGATCAATTACCCCAGGACTTATCATAAATCCTTTTAGTGTAGAAGAACTGCGTCCCAATAATAAGCCTACTGTTCCTTGGGGAAGAGGTCCTTTTACTCCTGTGGGAATGATTTGAACTCCCATCTCTGGAGTTAGTACTGCTCTGGCAGAG